AAATATCAATCATCTTACTTGCTTCAGCTTTCACTTTGTCCATTTCAGCAAGCAATGCCACTTCTCGATCCATTAAACTAGGAAAGAAAGTGAAAAAAAAAAGGGTTAGATGAGAAACTCAAATACTAAAATAAGGTAATTAATAATGGAGAAAGATTAGCAAAGTTGGTCACTAAAAGTATACTGCTAAGAAACAATGTATGGACTTCATGAAAGTCTAGTATTGTATTCACAACAAAGAATATTTAAAGATTCTAAAATAAATGGATTCCACCCATCCCTATTGTTCCATGTAATACAGCAGGCAAGCTATTAGAAATCCAGGTTAGAACCAGTAGATGGCAGTAGCAAGACACAAAAATATTTCTTAGTTATGCTAATGTAAGTACTTAAGGAAATTATTTATTTACACAATTTTTATATTTTTATCTTTTAATAAAAAATGGTATCACTGTGTATCCCTCACTGTTCTTGAACTCTATGTAAACCAGGTCGGCCTTGAACCTGCTTCAGCCTCTCAAGTGCTGGGATTGAGGTGTACACTGAGCTTGGTTTATGTAATTTCAAAGTCCTGCTTCTAATTTTACCAGGCAATATCTCTCTCCAGAAGGGTCACAGAAAGTTGCCCAAGATTTGGATCTATGTATCCAACATGTGACCACTGTGCCGTTGCAGTTCAATGGCACTATAGTCCTTAGGACACAGAATAGTCCAAGCTGATTTCTGATAAGAAAATCAGCAGTAAGCAGAAAAGATAGAATTAAGAGTTTCTTACAGAGTTTTCCTTCCTCATGTAGGGGACCAGACCAAGGGCCTTGTATAAGTGGTGCAAGCGCTCCACTTCTGATTCTCTTCTTGCAGCGCTGGTGTGTGTGAGTGAGGCTAACATTCTACCACTGGAGCTATACTCCCAGCTCTTGTTTTTGTAAGACAAAGTCTAGCTGTCATGTAGGCTGGCCTTGAACTCATCAGTCTTCTGCTTTAGCAGACCGAGTGCTGGGATTACAGGTATGTGTTACTAACCCTGGATTTAATTATTTGTATCTTTATTACATACTTATTTACTTATATGTATGCAGGCTGTCAGAATCAGAGTGCAGGAGTTCACTCTCTGCTGTCACCATGTGAGTCCTAGCTAGAACTCAGGTTGTCAGGTGTGTAGCAGGCACCTTCACTCTCTGAGCCATTCCATCAATCTGAGATTTCATCGTCTTAATAAGGTATGGCACACGCATTTAGCACATATGATTGTGCACACCTTTAATCCCAGCACTCTGGAGACAGAAGCAGGTGGATCTCTGAGTTCAAGCCCAGCCTGGTCTATAGAGCGAGTCCTAGGACAGCCTAGAGAAACCCTGTCTTTCAAAGAAGACAAAAACAAGGGGCTGGATAGATGGGCCAGCAGTTAAGAGCACTGGCTGTTCTTCCAGAGGACCCAGGTTCAATTCTCAGCACCCACGTGGCAGCTCACAACTGTCTGCGATTCCAGTGACGGGGGTCCAACACCCTCACTTAGATGCAGACATGCATCTAAGAAAGACACTAGTTACACAAAATAAATAAATGTAAAAAATAAAACAAAAAGGATATGGCTCTAATGTTAACAGAAATTCTACTCTTCTTTCTGATTGTAAAGGCAATCATACACACACACACATACACTATGTAATTGTGCTAGCACAAAGTAGTTAATACTGAGACTACACTATTATACAGAGCAGGGTCCTTTCCTTAAGGAACAAATACTTCCCAGAAAAGAGCCCGAGAACACTAGTCTGATGATTATGCATGTTAATAAACAGACTCCTAACTAAACCAATTTGGGTGGCAAATTAATCTAACAGCACCAGACCAGAGACGATCATGAGGTTGCCACACTCTGCCATGAAACATTTCCCACCTTGGCAGTTTGTTCAAGAACTCCAGTAGGGTCCGGAATACCCAAAGTCACAATTGGGGGAGGAAATGCCCGGCCTACAGCTTGACAGTGTTGCCCTCCTGCTACCAACTCATCTTAAGATGTACACACTATGTGTACCAGATGACAAGATCTTTGTCTTTGACTTCACAAAACAAGGGTTTCACATCTCCCAGTCTTCACTGTGAAAAGTAGAGCTGTGTAGGATGTTTTCATCAAATCCAGTTCTACAATGACACTACCAGACCTCTCTTGTGGAAATATGACGGGGTAAATTGTGATGACATTTTTTCCACTCTAACAATGAATGGTATTCATTGGTTTCTAGACTGATTCACTGGTGAGCACAAAAAATTCATAGTACATTGACTAGCAATGCAATATTATGAAAACCTCTCTTACATTCTAAGAGACTGGAACCTTTGCTGGCCTTCACAGATTAATAATACACCTCTAGTCCCTTAAGACTTGGACTGAGAGCCTGCTGCATACCTATCCTGTTTGTTTAACCTGCCTTTTGGAGAACATTGTGACACCCAACCAGTATTCAGCTTTGCAACCTAAGCTAATGCATCACTGTGATCTTTTTTTTTTTTTTTTTTTTTTTTTTCGAGACAGGGTTTCTCTGTATTGTCTTGGAGGCTGTCCTGGAACTCGCTCTGTGGACCAGGCTGGCCTCGAACTCACAGAGATCCGCCTGCCTCTGCCTCTCACATCACTGTAATCTTAAACTCTTAATTCTTTCATGCAACTGACCTAGAGTAATGCATGAGTATCATTTGCTAAGAGCAGCAAATGTAGAGATTGAAAGCAATCTTATAGATGAACATCCACTGTAAATGATGAACACAACATTTGGTTGCTGCTAGATTACAATGACACTTGTAACACCATTTGTCACCTGGGTGAATGGGAGTCAATGACTCAATCCCTTGTAAACTCCTTTACAAAAGATTTCCATAAAGTATCTTCTGCATGCTACACTTTTGGTACTGTTCAATAGAAGAGAGCACAGACCTTTCAGGGACAGACACACATGCACACTCTTTTTAAAAAAATACTTTTATTATATGAATATTTTGCCTTGTATGTATGTGTTTGCCACACATGTGCTGATGATTGTGGAGGTCAGAGGAGGGCATCAGATGCCCTGAGTAGAAGTTACAGGGAGATGTGAGCCACTGTGAGGGTACTGGGAAGCAAACCTGGGTCCTCTGCAAGAACCATGGATTCATCTCTCCAGCCCCCCTTGGGCTCACTCTTGACTAAGTGACACCAAGGGCAAATGCTTTGGTTTCTTTCCTTAGAGTGACATTATTAATCCCTAATGTGTTTAACCAATGCAACTGACAACATGAGCCCTCACTTAAAAAGTTAATTTCCATTTTCATACCAAAGACCAATAAAAACTTAATAAAGGTCTGTCTTGAAAGCCTGAGGACCTGCGTTCAATCCACAGAACCCATGTAAAAATTCTGGGCATGATGACACACACCTGTAACCCCAGCCTGGGGAGGTGAGCACTAGTAGATGCTTGGGGCTTGCTGGTTGGCCAATCTAGCTTAATTAGTGAGCTCTATGCCAGAGAGAGACCATGCCTCAAAAAGTGGTCTATAAAGCTGGTATGGTGGCACATACCTTTAATCCCAGTACTCTGGAGACAGGCAAGCCAGCTTTTATGAGTTCAAGGCCAGCACGGTCTACAGTGCAAGTGTCAGGCTAGCCAAGGCTACATATTGAGACCCTGTCTCAAAAACAAGAACAAAACCAACCCCCCCAATCAAAACCACACACATACATACAAAAGGAGGTGGATGGGCGCTGGAGAGATGACTCAGAGGATAAAAGCACTGGCTGCTTTTGCAGAGGACCCAGGTTCAATTCCCAGCAACCACATGATAGCTCATAACTGTTCCAGGGAATCCAATGTCCTCTTCTGATATCAACAGGTACCAGAGACATATGCAGATACAATATTCATACACATAAAAATAATCTATTGTTTTTTAAAGAGATGAATGGGATTCCTGAGGATGAATCTTGAAGTTGGTCCCTGGCTTCCACATGCACCTCCCCCCACAAAGACATAAACGCATTTCAAAGACCAATGAAAAGTAACAATACTTCTTTTTGTTTGTCATGTTGCCACAACAACATCTACTGAAATATCTTGGCATTGGCTCACAGTAAACAGGAATTGAAAACAGAGCTTGAAGGAGCTCTGATAGGGGATGTTCTTCTGTATGTTTCTCCTATTGGTTGATGTATAAAAAACTGATTGGCCAGTAGTCAGGCAGGAAGTATAGGTGGGGCTACTAAAAGAGAAGAAACCTGGGGAGAAGAGACATGCTGGCGAAGGAGTAACATGCCGGATTACGGGTAAGCCATAGATAGCCTCATGGCAATACATAGTGTAATAGAAATGGGTTAATAATTAGGACAGAGCTATCCAGTAAGAAGCCTAAGTCATTGACCAAACAGTTTATGATTAATATAAGCCTCTGTGTGTATTCATTTGGGACTAAAGGGCTGCGGGATCAGGCAGAACAGAACCTCCATCCACAGAGCTCTATCAGTATTTCTAACTACCCAGTAAAGACTTTACAACTCATTAAGATATGTAACCTCTCATTAAAAGTTCCTGACACAATGGCTTTATGTATTCTTCTTAGGTCACTCATTTTAAGCAAAGAACTGAAGGCAGATGACATCTGCGATTTCCAAGTAGTCCTACCAACACATACACATAGCCAATATATACTACTGTTTTATCCTTTTATATTTGCTTTTTTTTGAAAGCTTACATCATAGAAAGTTGGAGAAATATGTTTACTACAACATAAACAGAAAAGGGTAGAAAGTTAAAATCAGAGTATCAGAAAGGTTAGGTTTCTGATAATAGAAGAGGCATATTTTTACACCAATTTATTGTAATTCAACTTTCCAAAACAGACATTTCGATGGAGTTTCGTATCTGTTGTTAAGCTAAACAGTGGTCCCAGCATGGAATGGTGGCTGAGAGATCCACTGTCCATGTGTGACGTAATAGTTCTTAGAATCATAAAAGCATTAGAGACCAGAGTGAACTCTCAGGGCCTGACAGAAGGTTCCTTCAGTCTGTCAGACTTCCTTGGCCTTGCTTACTCCAACACTTCAGGCACCTAAGCGTCCCTCAAGGCTCTCCTCAACAGCAGTATGCCACAACAGCATTGGGTAGACTGGGAAATGGCTAGTGTGATTTGCTCAACATTGCTGGGGCCCTGCCTGGAAAGATACTGGGTCTTATTTAGACAGGGTTTCTCTCTGTAGCTCTGGCTGTCCTGGAACTCGTTCTATGGACCTGGACCTTGGAGATCCACCTGCTTCTGCCTTTGCCTCCCAAGTATTGGGATTGAAGGCATGCACCACCACCCACCCAGCTTGGTGTAGAGAATTTCTGTATCTTTTCTTTAATCATGAAATACACTTTGCACCACTGATCACTATTACTAGGGAACACTGAACACTGAATAGTCTCTATCTCCTCTTCTCCCTCTAGGACTTCTTATAGCACTACAATTGCTTATTTTAAAGCTTTTGCACAATTTATTGCTCAGAGTAGCTGCTACTGCAGCATCACCACTGACATCTCTGAGATTTATGCTGTGCCTGTCATTTCAAGCAAGGTCTTTGATTGATATCTTTAACGCAAAGCTATTCATTTTGAGTCTGGCTTTGCCTTCAATAGTTCCTTGGCACCAGAAATAATCATCATTTCTTTATGGTTATTGCATTAGGAAACATTATTTTAAATACAGCTGTGGTAATTCTACAGCCAATTATGTAACAGAATAACATTATTATAAAATAATAATAAACCACTTAGTAATATTTTTACTTGCTCTTATTTGCTCAAAACTTAAAACATTTACTTTAATACATTTGCAAATCAAAGCAGAAACTGAATCAAAGCCAATGAAAACAATCTTATTTTTCATTTTAAGATTTTATTCTTCCCTTTTAAAACTAATAGAAATTAAAACAGAATTATCAATAGTTTTTTGTTTTCTGAAACAGGGTCTCTCTACATCTCCCTGGCTGTCCTGGAACTCATTATGTAGACGACCAGGCTAACCTCAGACTCACAAGATTCACCTGCATCTGCTGCACAGGAGCTAGGATCAAAGGTGTGCACCACCATGCTTGGCAAAAGTTAAGTGCATGGGTTTTTTGCCTGCATGAATGTCTGGTGTGCCTGGTGCCGAGACCAAAGGAGTGCTTAAGATGCTCTAGGCCTGGAACAACAGATGATCCACAGATGAATCTGGTATGCACTCATCTGTATGGGGGCTGGGAATCGACCCTGAATCCTCTGGGAAAGCAACAAACGCTCTCAGCTGCTGAGCCATCTTTCTAGTCCCCAACAGTCTTATTAGCAGAGAATGAATGCTTCCTATGCTTTTTAAACCTTCACATCCTAGCACTGACATTACTGGAATACATTCATCCTCCTGCGCTCTGAACAAAATAGACCATTTAGAGAGCCAGATCAGCTGGGCAGAGTAACCACAGCAAAACCAAACTCCTGAACTAGCACACATCACCTCACCAGACTCCAGAACTAACACACACCACCTCACCAGACTCCAGAACTAGCACACATCACCTCACCAGACTCCAGAGCTAACACACACCACCTCACCAGACTCCAGAACTAGCACACATCGCCTCACCAGACTCCAGAACTAACACACATCACCTCACCAGACTCCAGAACTAAGACACATCACCTCACCAGACTCCAGAACTAAGACACATCACCTCACCAGACTCCAGAACTAAGACACATCACCTCACTGTTGTGAAATTCTGAGGGCTCTTTTTGTATGGAGGGTTTTGCAGAGTACGTGGACAGGACTTCCATGTTTCTTTATTTTCTTGTTTTTTATTAACTAAATTTTCTTATGTTAATTTTTATTTATAGGGGTGTCTGTGTTTATGTGAATATACACATGTATGGGTGCCTGTGGAGGTCAGTTAGATACCCTGGAGCTGGAGTTATAGGAAGTTGTGAGCACCCCACTGTAGGTGTTGGCAATGATCTTGGGTCTTCTACAAGATCAGGAAACACTTTTCACCATCTCTCCGCCCTTATTTTACTTTTTCAGATAAGAGTTTTGCTATGCATCCCAGGCTGGCATTGAATTCACAGCAACCCTTCTGTTTCACCCTCCTGACTTCTGGGCTTACAAGCATGTGTCTCCATGGCCAGCTGATTCCAGAATTCAATTCTCAGAAATAGCTTTTTAAAAGTTTGACCTTTCCGGGCTGGAGAGATGGCTCAGTGGTTAAGAGCATTAACTGTTCTTCAGGAGGACCTGGATTCAATTCTCAGCATCCACATGGCAGCTCACAACTGTCTATAACTCCAGTTCCAGGGAATCCGATACCCATGGTGAAACACCAATACACATAAAATTACAAATAAATAGATAAATTTAAAAAAAGTTTGACCTTTCCTTTCCGCTCTTTTTCAATGGTTAAAAAAATCTGGATTCAAACCCAGTCAAAGCTTCCCATACCTGTAATCAATTATAGTACTCAAGCTCTGAGGAGGACCAGTTTGAGGCCAGCCTGGGCTATGTAGCAAGATCACAAGACTGAATGGTGTTATTTTATAGATGGCCAGGGAAAATAAGCAGTTGCAATCTATACTACCAAGAAGTTTGTGGCTAGATTCCTAGTTAAGGAAAATGGCTGGAATGTTAACACACATGGTGATGACTGCCTGGATTTTCATTTGAAATCACTGTTTTTGTGCAGCTTCTTTACAGAACAACGACATCCACATCTAAGACTCCAGAAACAGAGGAGAGCATGTGAACTAACAAGGTAAAGGCTACAGAATAAAGCAAACAGGGACACTTGTTAAGACACAGGAAATCAAAGTGTTTTACATATACTTTGTAGTGGGAAAGTATTAATACCAGGAATGACTTTTGGCTTTTATAGAAAATAAAAATTACTGGCTAAGGCAGAAAATTATTACTTCTATTCCAAAAAAGCATCATAATTTATGGGCAATGCAGTAAGAAAACAAACAAAAAACCAAGAGGGACTGATGTAATCTTTAAAGTTTTATTGTATTTATTTAGTCTATGGATGTGGCCAAGGCACACACATGAGATCAGAGATCAATTTATGGGCATTTGTTCTCTGCTTACACTATTTGGGTGCTGGGGAGTGAGCACAGGTCATTAGACTTGACAAAAAGTGCCTTTACCTGCTGAGTCAGCCCACCAAGCCCATAAGTGAAAGGTTCTTTTTTATTGTTTTTTTTTTTGGGGGGGGGGAGTTGAGTCAGGGTTTCTCTGTGGCTTTGGAGGCTGTCCTGGAACTCGCTCTTGTAGACCAGGCTGGTTTCAAACTCACAGAGATCTGCCTGCCTCTGCCTCACGAATGCTGGGACTAAAGGCATGAACCACCATCGCCTGGCTTTAAAATTATTAATTATTAATTTTTTTTGAGACAGGGTTTCTCTGTGTAGCCCTGGCTGTCCTGGAACTCATTCTGTAGACGAGACTGGCCTTGAACTCACAGAGATCCACCTGCCTCTGCCTCCTGAGTGCTGGGATTAAAGGTGTTTGCCACCAACACCTTTTTTTTTTTTAAAGACTTACTTATTTTACTTATTTGCATATGATTTTTTTTTTCAACAAACACACATGGAGTTTATTTGGGAAAGGAGCAAAGAGAGGGGTAGGTGTTGGCCTACCGGGAACAGAGATGGAAGGGGGAAGGGAAAAGAAAAGAGAAAGAGACATACAGATGGGGGTGGGGGGGGCAGGAGAGAAGGAGACAGGAAAAGTCAGGTGTGCCCCCAGGGAAACAGCAGGAAAGAAAGGAGAGAGGGAAAGAGAGAGTGGAAAAAGAGGAGAGGGGTTAAGAGAAGAGGGCAGAAAAGAAAAAGTGCATATGATTGTTTTGACGGCAAGTATGTATGTGAACCATATGCATGCCCGCTGCCTACAAAAGTCAGAAGGTATCAGATCCCCTGTAACTGGAATTATAGATGGTTGTGAATCATCATATGCGTCTTGGGAACTGAACCCGGGTCCTTCCTCTGTAGAAGCAACAGGCGCTCTTTTAACTGCTGAGCCATCTATCCAGCTCCCCAACTTGAGGCAGGGTCTCATGTAACCCAGGCTGGTTTTCAAGTTGCTATGTATGCAAAGATGATCCTCCTGCCAAGTGCCAGGATTACAGACTGCACCATTATACCTATTTTACACATAACAGTGTTGGGGACTAAACCCACAGCCTCTGCATGTTAGCCAAGCACTTGTTTTTCTTAAGAGAAACAAGACATAGATTCCTTGGGTAAATGCTCTTATTCAATTTTAGTTTTGACTTTATTCTTCTCTTCTTTCAGCTACTGTCCCCTACCTCTAGCTCAGCCTTGCCCTCCTGTAGGCCTCTGGGTCTTTCCTAAGCACAGTGCCCTATGTCTACCTTCTACCAACAGAAATTCTGTGGTGCCCCCACCCCCAGTTTTGATAATGAGTCATTCCTTCCAAAAACATTTATTAATTAGCCCTATCCCACCTGGCTGTTTCTACTTTAGTTTGAAATGGGGCCTTGCTATCTTGCCCAAGCAGGTCTTGAACTCCTGAACTCAAATGATCCTATCTCAGCCTCTGAATGCCATAGTTACAGGTAGATGCTATCAACCTCAGCCCCTTAATCTTAATACTGTTTCCATTCCTGAGCTATGACCTAAAGAAAACCTCAATCATGAGACTCCAAGTTGTGACTTAACAGTGGCTTCAGCTGGGCATGGTGGCATATGTTTTTAATTCCAGTACTTAGGAGGTAGAGGCATAAGAATCTCTATGAGTTTGAGTCCAACCTGGTCTACACTCCAGGTCATGCATAGCTATGTAGTCTTAAACTCCCCCCGCTACCAAAAAGACAAAAAACAAAAAAAAAAGAAAAACAAAACCAAAAAACCCTAAGAGTGATTTAAGACCTCCGATTTATAAAAACCAAAAGAACACTGAATATTTTGATGGGACATTTCCTCTTGTACATTTATTTTTGTGCACATTATGCATGTGTGCACATGAATGTGTGGTGTGCATGAGGCACGCACACCTCAGCTTGCATGTGGGGAGGTCAGGGAACAACTTTCAAGTTGGTTCACTTTTTCCACCATGTGGGACCCAGGGATTGAATTAAAATTGTCAAGCTTAGTGGCAAGTGCCTTTACTCACTGAACAATCTTTCTGGCCTTATAATTTCGTTTTACTAAATTTAAAATCCTTCATTTCAACCCTATTGTACAATGACAAAGTTCTAAATCCTATTCCACACTGGTTTATATGTTACAGCCATTTGGTTGAAGAAGGAATAATATATGTGACATATATCAAATGTGTCTGGCCTTCCAACGTTTAAGTACAGAAAATAAGTCATCAAAAAGGTATGAAATGAAGGTTACTGGGTCAGAATACACACAGATTCAAATATTGGACCTGTATCTTGTGGTATCATATTAAGCAAACTATATAACTAATACTCAAGTCCCCCTTTTTTTACTACAATAATAATAATAATGATAATGATAATAAAAAACCCAACTACTTAGTAGGAAAGAACTCAGGATAAATAATTCAGATAATATATCCAACCACATTTATTAAGCTATTTGTGCTAGCTAGTTTTTGTCAACTTGATACCTGGGAAGAAGGAATCTCAACCGAGAAACTGTGTCTATCAAACTGGCCTGTAAATATGTATAAGGCATTTTCTTGATTGCGAATTGATGGGGGAGGCCTAGTCTGCTGTGGGTGGTGCTGCCCCTGAGCAGGTAGTCCAGGGTTAGCAAGTGTATAACCAGGGCTTCTTCATGATGCCTATTTCAGCTCATACACTGACTTCTCTCCAAGAAGAACTGGGAATTGGGGCAAATAAACTTTCTTCACCAAGTTGGTTTTGACCAATGTTTGTCACAGCAGCAGAAGGAGACGACAGCATTCCTAATAGTAACTTTCACAGACAGTTTAGAGACTTTTTAATATTGGTATTTCATAAAACTAAAACTTCATTTTTATTCAAAAAGGAATCCTAGGCAGGCATTGGTGGCTCAAGCCTTTAGTCCCAGCACTCGGGAGGCAGAGGCAGGCAGATCTCTATGAGTTCGAGGCTAGCATGGTCTACAGAGCAAGTTCCAGGACAGCCTCCAAAGACACAGAGAAACCCTGTCTCAAAAAAACAAACAAACAAACAAACAAACAAACAAACGAATCTTAGCATATCTTCTGTTGGCTTTTTGTAGCCAACACATTGAATGACAATCTCCCACCACACACGACACCTTCCAGGATGCACTTATTCTACATCCTGCTTCCTTAACTGTCTTAAACTTAAGCCAAGTAACTACTCTCACAATGTAAATTTTATTGATTAACAAGAAAAGTAAACCTGAGTCTAGAAATGATTAAGTCATCTTAAGTAAGTATAGATTTTAAGTTTAGATACTAGAATTCTGATTTTACTTTCCTTCAGGTATGGGTCAGCTTTTATAATCTTACTGTTACAAATCTGAGGTTTGAAGAGAGATCTGGCACCAGTGAGATCTCTAGCAATCTACAATGATGGCATCAACTGGCAAACTAAGCAATAGTAGAGAGACCACCTTAAATGCCCATCCCTGATAATGAGTTTGACAACTACCTTATATGCCATCCTAGAACCTTCATCCAGTGACTGATGGAAGCAGAGGCAAACACCCACAGCTAAACACTGAGCTGAATGAACTCTTGGAACCCAGTGACAGAGAGGGAGGAGTGATGAGCAAAGGGGTAAATAATGGGCTGGTGAAACCAGCAGAAACAGCTGACCTGAGCAAGGGGGAGCTTTTGGACCCCAGACAGACAGCTGGGAGGCCAGCATGGGACTGATCCAGACCCCCTGAATGTGGAAGTCAGTGAAGAGGCCTGGACAACCTATGGGACCCTGGGCAGTAGATCAGTATTTATCCTTGGCATACAAATGGACTTTGTGTGTCCATAACACAAAGAGGGATGCTCTCTCAGCCTGGACTCTTGGGGGAGGGCCTGGACCCCGCCCTGAGCGAAATGACAGACTCTGGATATCCTCTGTGTGGAAGGGAGTGGGGATAGGGTGGGAGGCTGGGGGGATGGTGGGGGAATGTGGGAGGAGGGGAGGGAGAGGGAGCTGGGATTGACATGTGAAGCAAGCTCTTTTCTAAAAAAAAAAAGTAATAAAAAAAAAAGAATCCTTTGCTTTAACACTATAACAAACACAAACATGACTTTCTAACTAGCATTGACTTCAAGCTGTTTGGTGCCAAGTGAGATTAGCTTACCTGTCCATTATACCTTTAAGTAACAACTACAAGGTACATGGAGGAAGGCGGCTTTTAAAGTCCCATCAGCCTGAGAAGGGGCCAGCAGGAAAGAGCAGGGCATCTCTGTTCTCGAGCTCAACTAACCTGGCTGTTAGCCTGCCGATCAATAGTAAGCACACAGTTCCCAGGAAGGAAACCATTTTACTTGTCGTTTATTGAAGGAGGTCCCTCCTGGCTGGGTTCCAAGACAGCTGGAACTCACAAATCCCTCAGAAGTGTGTTTCCTGGCTTAGGCTTGCTGAATGGAATTGGGTTCTGTGGCTGAGCAAGCAGTAAACTGGATGATCTTAAGAGACTAGAGACCTATCAAAGCAAAGCTGTGAAAATCTACACTTAGCTGTTTTTCCAAATATGCCAATAAAATGGTAAAAATCTATACACAAAACATGGCACCTCATCCTTGCAGATGGTCAGAGCAAAGAGACATTGGCAGTTTGGGGCACTGGCTGCACTTAGCTAC